ACGTTTTCCTCTTACAAATCTTACAAAGTTTATTTTTAAATTTTATAGCTTTTTACTTTTTATCTGGTTGACAATGAGTATGTCTTTTTTCATATTTATTTAAGATTTCAATTTTAACCTTTATTCGCTCATTTATTTATTAACTTCAAATCTCTCTCTTTTTATTAAGTCTTTCTAAATGTCTTACCTATAATGAAAGGCCACCCTCTGTCATGTAATATGACTGACACATCTGCCCTCGCCCGTTGCAACTTGTTCATTGCAAATTTTGTATTTGCCTTGCTTTTAACTATTACGCTCCCATTTTCGCTTCAAATTTCCTTTTCGCGATGGAATAACAAAAATAACAAAAAAATCAATACTTCTATACAAATGAGCGCTGTATATCAACAGCAACAACAAATGTCTCCATCACAAAGATCCCCTATGTCTCCATCACAAAGATCCCCTATGTCTCCATCACAAAGATCCCCTTCATATGTGATGCAAGAAGGTGTATCTAAAGATGGTCAACCCGTTCTAGTCTTTCATAGTAACGGTGATAAACGAAATAGTAGAAGAATGAGTTTATATCATCAACGATCTAATAGTAATGGTTCTACTCCGAATTTATTGAAAGATTCGGAGTCTACAAAAAGTGCCAAGAATGTTGAGACCCATGTTGCTGGTGAAAATGGGAATATCAAAAATGTTGCTAATTAATTGATGTTAATTTGCAAGTTATATGTTTGCAAATTATCTTAATTATCTTTCATAATTAAATTCATGAAAGATTAAAAAATGTCTTATTTTGCTTATGCTCTAATTTTTAATTTTGATTCCATTTTAGTAAATCTATTACTATAAAGCTTTATGTTTTAACTATTTACAATTATTTATTATTTTTTTTTTTTTGATTTTCTGTACAATTATCTTTTTTTATACATATACTAGCATTTTTTGTGCTTGGCTTTTAGGACTTTTTGGTGTTCCTATACTGTTTAGCACTTATCTCACTAGCATTTATTGCATTTACCTGCATTTATTTGGTCAAACATAATGCGTACTTTAAAATCTTTAAAGTTAGTCTCTCGCGTAATCAAAAAGGAAATATTGGTTTCTTGTAAAAAGTCATCTCTGACTTTCATTTTTTTTGCTAACCTTATTTTGATTCGTATCTTAAATCGTATTGTGATCTTTTTTAAATTTAGCTAATTGGTAAATTTACAGTATATTTAGTTCTTTCATATATACTTATTGTTTGTTGAGTCCAGAAAATAATATAATTTGACGAAAAGGAAAGATATACAATTTATACAATTAATATTTTTAATTAATTAATCTGATCTATTCTATTGTAACCTTTTATAAAATGTTAATATACGGGGTAAGTATTCACTCGAAATGTCGTTACATATGATATTGGGGTTTTATTTAAAGACAGATTTGGATTTATTTAAACTCATGTCCTAATTATATATACGATATAGTTTATGTTTATTGTTATTGTAAATTTTAATTTGTTTATTTTAAACGATCATCTGCATTTTACATTTTACAATCCTAAAAAAAAAAATGTATATATCGCACTGTGCGTTGGCACTTGTATATCGCACCTCTATATCTATAACCAATAATTGCTAATCCGCATAACATAAAATCAATATAATTGTTTAAGGTTGATAAAGGTTAGGCTAGGGCATAGTATATAGTAAAATTTCGTAAAGAATCTTCTTTTATTAGAATATTAAAGACCGTTTCATAAACAAAATTTTGAGATATTACCAATTTTTACATACTGCAGATATACAATTTAATTGGTAGATTGTTAGAGTGCGATATATAAACTTCTTGCATGGTGTGATGCCTAATTAAGTTTTTTTTTTTTAGTTTTTGATTTTTTTGTTTTTTTTAATTTGGCTATGTTTTGTCACTGTTTATTTGAGATTATAATTATTTCTAAAAATTATAAGAATTTCTATCTATAGCTACTTTATATCTATTCAAACAGTAAGTGTATCAAGCTTAAAAGTTAAACTTAAAAGCCTAGAAGTGATTGGTCTCAATAGTTCTTCACCTTCTTTTGGGCTTTTAACTTACTAGGGGTTTGAATTCTTTGGTTATTGACTGGTATTATATACTATTTCAATATTGGCTTTTCTTTTTATAATAATGAAATGCAAACATAAATTTAAAAGACAACAAAAAAAAAGAAAAAAAATCTCAACAATCAAATTTAA